CAAGATAGCTTGCTATTACATTTGACTTTGATATCAAACTTTTACAACAAAAGGCTTGAAAGTCGGAGTACCTCCCATGACATACTATAGACCCTTCAAGACATGTTTGGTCATCGAAATAGGAAAGCTCTTTTGAACCATTTGTACCTTATAGAACATCCGCTTGAAATCCAGAATGCCTGTGAAGTATCATAGTTTGACTATGATCGTACACTTCAAACATAGCTGGGAGTCTGGGTGCAACCATCTATCAAGAAGACTCAATTTGATAGGAGTATTTTGTTTTTATTTCAGTAGTAGTAGGTGTTTGATTCTTAAAGATTGTATTATGTCTCGTAAATGAAGTTGAAATTAGATTTCTGTTTTCAATTTAATAAGACAAGGTTATTCGATAAAATCAACGTCTGATACACTTGGCATTTTAATGAATAAAGTTTATGTTTACGCTAGACATTTGATTAATGGTCTTTATATTTTTTAAACTATTCCTCATATGAAATAAAAAAGGTTATAACTATAAACCATGAAAGGTCGTACCATAATAACAATACATATATGTTGTAAAACAAACAGGATAACAAAATATCTCTGATATCACTTGTTGTGAAACCAACCACCGATTGAGATGTTGAAGTTATATGGCAAATAATAATGAAGTATTTGATCAAACAAAAGAATAATAAAGACAAAAATATGGCAGAGGAATTATGAGATTTTATTGACTCGAGAATAATGGAGAAGAGTGAGAATTAAAATGGATCCTATAATTTTAGTAATCTATTTTCTCACACTTATAAAATTGTATAGAAGAGCATAGTATTTATAGGGGACATCCAAATCCTCTTAGTAGAATTGTTGATGAAATATAATGCCAAAAAATTGAGTCCAAAACGAAGTAGGAGAAAAAAATCACGAAAAACCCGAACAACACAAGCGGCGCCGCGGCACCCCGATGCTCGACGCAGTTACCCCGAATTTTTTTTTCAAATTGTTTTCTCCATCCAAATTCTTCTTCAAGTCCAATATCAATTTCCAACTCCCAATGGGCTTCCAAAATAGAACTCCAACTTGACATAGGACTTCAATAACATTCCAAATTGAATTCTCATTGACGTGCACTTCAATTAGAATTCTTCAATAATTCAAACACTTCAACAAAAGAATTCTAGTCATACCCAAATTCCAACAATCTTCAATTTGACACAAATTTCACCAAGGAATGAACTGACTTCTTCAACAATAACCAAAAAATTAATTTCTCCAACAAAACACAATATTCAATCTCATCAAATAAATCAAATCACTACTATACAGAATTACCTCAAATTCCTAAAAAGTCATAATGATTTTAAATTAACCAAAAAGGGCTGTAACACACCCCAAAGCAGAATTAAACACAAATGCTTTTGAAAAAAGCTCCTTGTTCGATTGTACACATTCTACTCCACTTAAATCATTCTCAAGAAAATCATCATTCACATACCTTTTTCCACTAGATCTGTCCCTAACAACTGAATACAATGGCACAGCAGGTGATGGTAGCAAAGCGGCATTATCCATATCTCTTAAACTCTACTGACTAGTATTCTTCAAATCCAACCATTTACGAGATCCTAAAAGTATTGTACCAAACTGAATGTCCACCACGGTACTAAATATGTGCTAATTGACTTTTTTAAATTCTACACGATCCTACAAGATGTATAACTGAGACATTTTTTGTCCATCCAATACAACTTGGGCACCCTTATAAACTTTCAAAACTCTACCTCCACCAAAGAACTCATAACCCTTTTAATCAAGGATAGACAACAAGATGGGGTTCTTCTTCAAATCCGAAACATGTTGAACCTGACCAAGTGTTCTAATTGTTCCATCCAATAGCTTCAATCTAACCTACCAATTTCAGCAACCCAACAAGGCACGTTGTTTCACATAACCATGACACCTTTGGAAACAGTTTCATATGTAGCAAAACAAGTCCTTATTAGGACACATATGAAACACACATGCTGAATCAAGAATCCAATCATCTTCCGGTTTAGACTCAATGTCAGAAATAATTAAGATATCTCCATCACTTACAACATTCTCTGCGAGGTCTAAAACTTCGCAAGAAGTATCTGAATATATCCTTACAGTCATCATTTCTTTATTCTGCAATTGATAGCAATCCTTCTTCAAGTACTCGTTTATTCTTGCAATAGTTACAAATTTGATTACTGAACTTAGACTTCAATCTACCCCTCCAGAGCTACCATGAGCAATCAGCCTTCTCCATCTCTAGTCTCATAAACCAGATGCTTCATCTTCTTTTTTGAATAAAAGTATCGTAGTGATTACACAAGATTATGTCTCTAAATGAAGAAAACGAAGCGGGCAATAAACACAATAAGATCAATGCCAAATCTTTTTCATCATACTCTTCCTCCAAAGTTTCTAAATCAACGACGATCTCTTTAAATACAGTCAGGTGATCTTCCAATGATCCTCTTTCTGCCATTCGATGAGAGTATAAACTCTGCTTTAGGTTCAACTTACTTGTTAAACTTTTAGTCATGCACAATTTCTCCAACTTCAACCATAAAGCAGCTACTGAATTCTCTTTCAAAACGTGCTAAAGAATAGTATTTGATAGATGAAGATGAATGTGAGAAACTATCTTCCTATCATTCCGTAATTTCTCCTTCGTAGTCAATGTTGCGGGCATCTTGTCAATTGCCAACAACGCATCATCCAAATCCAATTGTGAGAGTACTTCACGCATCTTAACATGCCACAACAACAATCTAGTGCTCCGATCCAAAAGTGAAATGTCATACTTCGTGGAAGCCTTCACAAATAAAAAATCTTGAATAAATAAAACAGTGCGCTCTGCGGAACTACTGAATCTAGGCTCAGACACCACTTGTTGTAAAACAAACAAGATACCGAATATCTCTGATATCACTTGTTGTAAAACCAACTATCGGATTGAGATTTTAAAGAGTTATATAGCAAATAATAATGAAGTATTTGATCAAATAAAAGAATATTAAAAACAAGAATGTTATAGAGGAATTAGGAGATTTTATTGACTTAAGAGTAATGGAGAAGTGAGAGAATTACAATTGATCTTATAATTCTAGTAATCTATTTTCTCACACTTATAAAATTGTATAAAAGAGAATTGTATTTATAGGGAACATGTGGATGATATCCAAACACTATTAGTAGAGTTGTTGATGAAGTAGAATGCTAGAAAATCTAGTCCAAAATGAAGTAGGAGAAGAAAATGAGGAAAACCCGAACAGCATAGGTGGCGCCTCGGCGCCCACCTTCGGGCAGCTCGGTGCCGGGGTCGAAGCCGGGCAAGCTACCTCGAATTTTTATTTTTTCAAATTATTTTCTTCATCCAAATTCTTCTTCAAATCCAATATCAATTTACAACTCTCAATGGGTTTCCAAAATAGAATTTCAACCTGACATCGGACTCTAATACCATTCCAAACTAAATTTTCTTTTACGTGTATTTCAATTAAAATTTTTCAATACTTCAAACACTTCAACAAAGAATTTGGGTCACAGCCAAATTCCAACAATATCTATGGTATCTTGGACGAATTAACTTTAACAAAATACAAAGACTAACTAGAGATGGTCCTCCCAATTCGGTTAAGATCGAGCCATTGTCATTCGTGATTCTTGTTTAGAATGTAATTTGACACAGATATCTTTTCGACAAAAAGAGATAGAGCCAAATATATATTAGGCCTAGTTGATTCTGATATGTGTGGACCTGTGAATACACTAGAGAAGGAAAACTATAAGTATTTATTTACAAATAATTACTCTAGACTCAAATACAATTACCCGATGGCTTAAAAGTTAAACACTTTTGAGAAACCAAAAGAGTATTAGATTAAGGTCGAAAAACATTATGTAAGTGTATTAAGACACTTCGATCTGATCAAGATGGTGAGTACCTCTTGGGAGAATTCAGGAATAACTTGAAATAAAATGGTATTGTTTCTTAATTGTAATTACTATAAAATTTAATTAAGTTTTAGGGCTACACATGTAATTTAATGTAAACTAATTGAATTTGGACTTTAATTAAACTCCTATTTGGATTTTAGTTGAGATTCTTATATAAATGTGGAATTCTTATTGTACATGAATTGAAACATCTTTATCTCTATAACTAGAGAATAGATGGAGATAAAAATCCTAAAACTATCAAAATACATAATTCCATCAGGTTCAAATTTGGAGAGAGAAAAAGAGAGAATAATTTGTTTTCTTATTTTTCATTTGTCCAGTTGAAGAATTAGTTTCTTGATTTAATTAAAAGAAAATGTTTATCCATCGGTGTAGTCTTGATTTTGGAGAATAGCATAGAATACTTTGAGATTTGGAGTATCAAGTTCTTGGAATGAAAAAAACTAGAAACTTGTGATCCAAAAAGTTGGAAGTTCGTGATTTAGAATTAATTCAAGAATCGACCATCGAATTGAGGTAAAAAAAAATTGAATTTTTTACTCTTGATATAACATATACATGAACATCTAAACGATATTGTCTATTTAATTAAAGAAATTTTAAATTTCAGGATAATTCCATTTCATATCACATACTGAAAATGGATGCATTCTTTGTTTTAGCCTTTGCAGATATTATAATTGATAATAAAGCAAATGATCTGATTTTATTTAGAAAATGGACCGTGCTAGACGTATAACAGGATATACAAAACTTTTTACAGCCTGATGATGTGTCAAAATTTTGAAAAGTCAAAATATCGCACGTCACTTGGAAAAAAAAAAAACAAAACTAGTAAAGAAAAGAAAAGGCGCTATTTTTGAACCCTATCCCCTCATTTCCAAATCCAATCGGGAAGCAACCCATTTCACGACGTCGGCATCTTCGACATCGGCGTCGACAAGACAATGAACCCAATGTCCTTACCCACCCCAATTGCCGTCGAAGCTGAACACTCTTCTTACGGAGACATAGACAAAATGGACGCCGGCTACTTCGACGTCGATTACAAGATGGGTAAGATTTTTCCATCTTCATTTTTCTCAAGCTATTATTTTCTGCACTGTAGTTTATGGCCAAAAGTAGGTTATCAGGCTATTGTGAGCACAAAATTGCTACTTGAACTAAGGAAAAAAAAAAAAAGCTCTCTCTGAAGTCATCTAGAAAAAAGGTGCAGTTGGAAAAGTTTTTTTTAGTGGCTAATAAGGGAAGTAGATGATTTGTGCAATTTGAATCATCTTGTATACCGGAACCAAAAGTGATGAAAGTCTTATGAGTTTACTTTCAAATGGAACTTACATTTGTAAAACAAAATCTCTAAGTTAAGTTAGAAGTTTCCATTTCACTTTTATCATATAGTATGCTTTATATCATAATCAATATTTCGGCACACGAGAGCATTTCGGCATAGTTTCAAGTTTTAAGTGTGTAGCAAATTTCCTGTTAGTGCGAGACTGCGAGTTAGGCTTCTTGTACTGGTTGGTTGAAGGAAGTGTATGCGTGGTTTTAATGTGATTTTTCTCGCAGGTAAAGCTGATGGCAAACAGGTTAATTGGTTTGTTTCTACCAATTTGTGGCTTCTTCTAGTCAGTGTAAGCATTGCAGAGAATCGGCTTTCATTTAACTCAAGGCGCTACTTAAATCGAAATATCCTGTAAATACGTATTCTCAATAAATGTCAAAATGCGTAAATATTTTTTTTTCTCAACTACAGTAGATTATAACTAAATGCGGAAATGTCATTTAAATAATTTGATCACATCCAAGTGTCAATACCAAATATAATAAGCAAAGTGTCAAAATTCGCAAAAATACTAAAACTTGAGATTTAGTTGACAAAATGGAAACCAACTATTAAAATACTTGTTTCAAAAATTTATAAATTAAATGGTCT